AACGGGGCGGACTGCCTTTGGACAGATTCTGCCACAGCCTTGATGATGTCCAGCTGTGCTCTCTGGCTCACGCACTCGTCGAGGCCATCAACGATGATGACACGCTCTGCCAGTTCGATACCTCTCCCTTTCAGTTGCCGAATGGGAGCTTCGAAGAGGTCACGAAACTGGTGCCGTACCGACTTTCTTACAAGTGTTGGGTCGCGGCGGATTCTGTAGTCTAAAAAGTCACTATAACGGTCATCCTTCATTGCAAGCTGGTATGAGATGGAGGTGAAGAAGCAATGAGCATTGCCCTGTTCATTAGAGCGGGAAAAGAAGAATGAGGCACCTAGCCTCTCCTCAAGAGCCTCGGCGCAGTACTGAGCGACGACAGATTTCCCGGAACCACCAGGACCTTTCAACCAGGCGATCTGGTCAACATGATTGTCATTATTGAAACCCCATCGTGTGAGCCTATCGACATAATTTTGCCATGCTCCAGGGTGATATGGAGGAGGTGAATGAGCAGAGGAGTCATGACTCGCTTCTGGGGTCGAAGCGGTGAGGAGAATCTGGAGACCTAAAGTCGGGTGAGCTAATCTACTACTTTTTATGAGAAGTTGACTTCCTTACCTGGTCTATCCAATCCGCAACCATTGGCGCGGATGGTTTGCGAGCAGATATGCAAAGGCCGATTGACAATTATCAAGCTCGGGGGGCGACATGAAGGAGGAAAATCCGAAACGGATGCATTACTGAAATTGATCTCCGAGGTCAGCGTTTCCGCCAAGAAAGCCTCGTGTCCATAAGGGTTTCCGCACGCGATGGCGCTGGCATTGGCATTCTTTAGTTAGTTGCCCGGGGAATGGACATCTGGTGCGAGTGATCCATATTCTGCTGTGGTCTCGATGACTTGGTTCTTCCCATAGGTAATGGTAGAACTATACAGATGATCGCTCTGAGCACAGCGGACTCTCTCAGACGGGGGCAAGGGCGATAGATAAAGGGACGGCAAAGTTGGTTGCGCCTCTGGGGCTGGGGCTCTGGAAAAGGCCTGAGGTTTGCTGCCCGCTGAACGACCAGCGTTAACCATAGGACTGCTTTGCGAATGGTCAGCCGAGGCGTGCTCATGAAACATGTGGCCTCCAGGATGCCATGGTGGCGGTAGTCGGTAAGGAAGTTCGGGGCCGTGACTTGAGCAGTTGACTGGGACCTCTGCATTTGGTGACAACAGTGGGTTACCTGCAGTAGACAACCTCAACTTAATCAAAGTCCTAGCTGACGAAACTTCGACATACCAACTGCACTCTGGACCACTCGATCTCTTGTATTCGTGATTGGCGAACAGTGATTCAAATATTGATTAACAATCCCGGGCCTGGGAGGGCGGCAGCAATGGGAGGGCGGGTAGCCAACCCGTGGATCACAACGGGTCTCAAGGGTTGAATCCCATAAGCCTGTAGAGATAGTCGTTAGTCACAATCTTTGAGAGGAGGTATTTCATTGATTTTACTAGCGGTGTCATTGTGAATGAAGTTGACATTGACTTGCGGCGTGACGTGCTGTTCGATGAATTGCGGGTTGTTCAAGACAAAATCATGGGCATTAGAGAATCCGCCAGACATGATGACTGTGAGCAAGTCCAACGGAAGGTATGTAGTGTATAGCTTCTCCTGTCCAAGGACATGCAGTTTTGTCGCCCCGCATAAGTTGTCGACTTGTTAAGTTCATATAGTTTACAAACAAACATCCTCGAAGAAATTCTATTTGGGATGCGGATGGAACCAATCGAAAATAGGTCACACCGAGCTAGCAATTGAACCCGTGTGCCCGGTCAAATTCCGATTTGGGTGCACACGTGATCGATTACACATTGAACCCACCATTAATCAACGTTAAATTGAAAGAACATTTACACCTTGCTTAATCCAATAGTTGTAACCGATTTTTTGTAGATATTGCAACGCCCTATGGGAGGTATGTTTTCATTAGTTGAGCTATTCCGTTCGCTGCGGTCCTTTACAGTCCGAGGAGATGGAATCCCGCAGGAACTTCAAGTACGTGCCACGAGATACATCAGGGGCACATTCAATACCCAGAAACCCAAAAACTTTCTATTCCTTTTGTTCTACAACAAAAGCAATGCTAAAGAAAAGAGGGCACTGGAGAACAGCTGGCCTCAGATCGTGTGCACGGAAACGGTCAGGGCGCAGCCACCATTCGGACGGAAAAAATTCTGCAGTTCACGACATCAGTGTGGTTTATTGACAGCCTAGTCTATTGCGTAGACTGTATCATATGTTCTTGGAGGTCAAAATACTATGTAGCCACCTAAGCCCCCCAGTAGCCCCACCGCGACCCATTAAACCGGTCAATGTCCAACATGAACAGTAATGCCTATGACCGCATACTATTGAGCGTAGTTGCCTTTGCGTTCGCCTACCTTTCGATGCGTATGACTGCGTGCATTACGTACGGCCTGGTCGTCTCCTCTCTTCCTTACACCAAACAGACACAACAAACAGCCAGGAATGCGTCCCACCACATGAGAAGAACTGCCACATTCTGAGCCCAGGGATACTCATGACGGGAATGGGCTTGTAGGGATAGGAAGTGTTTGACAAAATTGACCGTGATGACCGGGATCTGAGAACCTGCGCATATCTTGAGTTATCATGTACGTGAGCAGGAGGAACACCCTGCGAGAGGAGTCTCCTATCTAAGTTCATCATTAGGTATTGTACAGCAAAATACAATCAGAATTGATAAAGAAACGACGTGATGGGTGGTGGATATACTGTATATGAAACCCAACAAAGGGGGAACAACCAACAAAACGAAGAGAGAAAGGCACCTAATAAGCATAGTCTGATGATAGGGTGAGAAGTGAGCGAAAGCGAAAGGGATAGAAGGGCAAGGTCTCGCGGAAGGTAGGAATGGGCTGGTACGGTCATAAGAGAACGTTGGGATAGAGACCTGAGAGACAAAGGTGTTAATCGTCTCGCAGCTTCGTATGGCCGATTTCCCATATCATACGCCTTCGAAGGTACGGCATATCTTTTTGTGTAAAGCGGAACATTTCCTCGCCTCTTGAAAGGGTTTCGAGAAATTGGCATGTGAAGACACCGCAGTCGTACCCGTTTTCTTGCTGTGGCGTTAGATCCTAGATTGCTAGGTCAACAAAGATCGTAGGAGATAAGGGGCGTGGAAGGGACTGACATCGGGTGCATAGTCTTGCCAACCTGTAAAATCGAATGGTGCTTTCTTTTTATTCCGATGTTCCGCGTCGAGGTATCTCCGTAGATACTAGTAAAAGGGCCTTAGTTACATGAAGACCACAACAAAAGTGGGGAGAACTCACAGTAAACACGATGTCCTTCGCCATTCCCATGGAGTCATACGACTCTATGCGCTTCCGACGAAAGTTGATGGCAGCGGCAGTCCAATGAGCGTTACTATGGTTGACTGGCACGAGCAGCGCATCTTTTGAGAATATGTCAACCTAGCGGGGGTCAGTATTTGTATCAGTGAGAGGTGCGAAAACATACCTTCTTCGTCCACTTTGCCAGTCTCCCCTTGTCGTATCCCTCACTCGTCAACTTTGACCAAAAGAATGTGCTGAAATAATGTACATTCAACGACTTCCCGCGTCCCTTCGCACCCACTACCCCTGTCCCATTCGGCATATTTTCCTTACAGCCCTCTGATCGTCCCAAAATCATTGCCCCATAAAAGTTGATGATCTCGTCATTTAACCATTGCCCGGGTCTCAGGCGGATGATATCCTTATCCTCCACTGATTCCCTCGCGTACTTGGCTATTGAGCCACGTTTATTCAGGAATGCTCTCACGGCGTCCTCATCTGGAGGTGGAAGGGATGTTGGGAGGGATGGAACCTTCGGTTTAAGGTCTTCCTCGAGTTGTTCATCTTTGGCTTTCCATTTCCGTTGTAGGACGTCGAGGGCGGAGGTGTCGAAGCTGAGAGGCTTACGCCTGGGAGGAGGAGGGGGGAACTTAACTTGCAGAGTAATGGGTAGGGAAAGAGTGTCTTACTCTTGCATCGATGCTCGGGCGATGTTGAGAGCCCGCTTGAGACCTTCATCTTTCACTGGTGCGAGAGGTGAAACAACTTTAAGGAAGAAGACTCGAGTTAGGAACTAGGGGGGACCAGATGCAAGTTGGGGCGAACCTTTCGCAGGATCATGCGGGACAGCCAATTTCACTTTGTCAAAGTACGTGACAAAACCTGAGGGTGGGTATCAAGCTGAGTGCTGTGGGGGGCGAAAGAAAGTGTTCTCTGACCTTCGAAATCTGCCATGGATGACTGATAGCCTGGATATCGTTGAGGACCATCATGTGAATGCAGCGCGGGTGCAAACATACCATTCCTTTTCTTGTTTTCATACGCCCTCAGAAGGAGTGCAGCACGCATCTTCTCCCTGTCATTCTTCACCTTCGCCCTATGCTGTTCGCGGCAGATATCAATTAGCCTTTCATAGTCCCCTATGCGAATACCGGTTTGACGCACCGCCTTTTCATGAATATGTGGCCTATGTCGATGCCTGATAAGCCCAGTCGGTCTCTGCCCCGCAGATGATCCTGCTGTGGTAGTACTGGTAAATGATCCTGCACGAGTTGGCGGTGATTTATTCGGTGACTGAAGACCCATACCCGCGAGCTGCGTGTCAAGGGGGTCTGGTGTAGACATCTGGCTTGAATTGTACTGCTGCTGTTGTTCATGTCTTCGCAATAGAGAAAGGAAAGAAGGACTGCGCGATGGCGGCCGGTGGTTGTTGGGTTGCAAGAACGGAGACGAGTGTGGAGAACCAAACATACGCCTCGTGTGACTTCCGAGATATATTTCAATGGATTTTGGGAAAGTAAGAGGGAACGCGGAAGGGATATTGAGAAAATGTCGTTACGCGAGTTGGATCTCGCGCCCAACTCAGTCCCCGAATCGCCGTCACTGTCACACCTGTTCCCGTCACCTCAGATGACCCTGAGACACAACATCCAACGCCTTCTTGGTTCAGTTGGTTAGAGCGCTGGTCTCACCCGACTGTATGAGTAGTTATATAGCTATGCAATCCAGAGGTCACAAGTTCGAACCTTGTAGGGGGCATAACGAACTTCTAATTTATTTTTGCACTCTGTCATCTTCCCCCCGTAGAGCATAAGAGAAAAACGACACCCGGAGCTTCAGTTCATGCACCACCGACGACGGCTTGAGAGACGTTCTCTTGCCCCTTGCCCTCAGGCTAAAACATAATACCGCGTCTCCAGAACTACAGACACTTTGAAAAAGGATTTAAGAAAGCCATCGCTAATTCAATCGCGACATCAATTATATATTCCTGGGAAAAGAAGGATAATGAAGTGGGGGAGCGAAATAGATACCGCCTGATTTGTCGGAATTGTCTCTTGGATCGAAACCCAGTGTATTGAAATTGAACGGAGTGAGAAGATCATTGACAGAATACACGTCATGCAAGATGCGATTACTGATGCTTGTCTTCAAAACTTCGTTATTCCTGTTGTCTTAGCACACCGCGTCTCGGCTCAGGACATTGATCAATGATTCTCACCAGACAAGCATCAAGTCAATGCGCGTCTGGCGATATCATGGCAACATTGTCGGCCGGGATAGTCGGTGTGACGGGCGCGAGTTTCACATATCCGGACCAGAAGAATTTGTGGTGTTAGAAGAGGCGGCAGACGGAGTTAAAGCGTTGATAAAATGCGAGAGTATATCTCGTAGGCGAGTCGAATGAGCGTTTTTACGCCATCTGGGTATTAAGAAGTGCATGGAACAGTAGGGAACAGCCCAGAGAGAATATTTTGAATGCGGGAAGTCACGGCTATGGCGAGATCAAGCGCAAAGTGCACGAGTTTTCAGCATGCAGAGTACAAAATGATAATGCTTACAGCTGGATTACATATGTGGTCAGGCGAGGATAATAAGCGTGTGGCTGGCATGGCTAGAGGAAGGAAAGTAACTGTAAAAGGACGATTGAGCGCGGAGCTGGGTCGATCTACGGAGCGGGCCGAGGGCAATAAAAGGGAATTTCTCGGTTAGTAGCTCGTTATCTCTGCACTCTCCCACAAACATATAAGACCAGGCCTTTCTCCTCCTCTTTTATTCCTCTAGCGCCTCCCTTTTCCCTGACAATCGACCGACAATCGACCCCTTTATATCCCCCAGCTTCGTCCCATCCAACTCGTACGTTCACCAATCTAGGACCCTTCGGATCAACAACAATGGGCATGAGCTACCGCCGCTACCTTTCTGGCGACCGTATCTATGGCTGCTCGACATGCAAGACCCACCTCGCCACCATACACTCGATGATGTCTAGGGTATTTCCTTTTCTTAATGACGTGTTATATTCATTGACATGACCATGACCACCCCATACAGGCATTCAATGGCCAACATGGTCGAGCGTATCTCTTCGATGGCGTGTGAGACTATCCATAGATGGTGTTCATTTCCTTTGACACTAATATCATATCCCTAGTGTGAATGTCATTGAAGGCGAACCCAATGACCGTCCCATGACCACTGGCAACCACACCGTCCGTGACATCTACTGCGTCAAATGCGGAACAACCCTGGGCTGGAAATATGTAAGCTTCTCGCAGTTTCCACTCCACCGAGTATTTGTAACTAATCCTCATCGATACTACCACCATAGGACAAGGCTTATGAGCCATCGCAACGATACAAAGAAGGCAAGTACATTCTCGAGCGCAATTTGCTCGTAGATGTACAGTGAATTCCTCGCCCTCGTATTGGTTATAACCCGGTAATTGTGGTGACATCCATACACACACGCTCAACAGCACCTAGCATCATCATCACCGTTGCACCACTACTCGGCTGGCCGTTGATCTGGTTCGGTCGTTTTTTGGTCTATGATTCGCATCACCGTCATCGACATTATCGGACTTTCGCACGTTCACACGGTTGTATTTCTGTTCTTTCGTTGCAGTTTTTATGTTGGAGGAAGAAGGGGATAGACCAGAAGAGGCGTGAGGAGCCATTGGAAGATGGAGAACGCAATCACGCTACCACCGTCATTCCGCCCTTCCGCCTCGCCGGCTAGACCCCTCCCTTGCTGACCACCTCCAGTCCACCGATTTTGTTCTTCGTCCTTCGCACACACCAGTCGCATTGTATATCATTAATCTTCCACGATTGCCAACCTTCAATAATCTCGTCGAGCCCTCTCCTCGTCTCCCATCATTGGCCCTTGTACGCAAATTAGCCTTCCGGACTCCCATAGACATCTACCCCTGGAGCCAAATCCTCCAGAACATCAAGAATATCTTCCCCTTCCCTGCACCATCCACGACATCTTGTGCGGCTAAGCCATATATCTACACTATCTATTCGCCCCCACTCTTCCCAACAGCCGCTTTAACCTTGGTTCTGGTCTCGGTAGTACCCATTTTTGTACTGCCTCATTTCATGTTAAATATTGGAATAAATGAATACTTGTCAAGTTCTGATTGGGACAAGTACGTGTAATCAGCTCCTGCCAGTCAATTTTAATCACACAACGCCCGACTGCCTATTTTTTAATACCAGCACAAATGATGGCCCGAGTGTGAGAGAAACCCCAATAAAAACAATCAAAAATACCTTGGCCCATGGGCCAGTCCTTCAGTCATGTGTAAATTGCGGTCTTGTGCGTGTGATCATCGATGATCAGTTCTCCAAAGGGTCCCTTCATTCTCTCCGACACAGCCGCCGTTAAATTCAGAAGCCAGGGCGTTGATTCTGCGGCGATGGGACGTCCTTTGTGCGCAGTGCTGCACACGGTAGGTCAATTCTTTGGGGTTCGGAAGCTTCTGGCAACTACTACTGCGCGTTTAGAACTAGGGAGGCAATCGTAGTCAATTACCGGTCATTTATATCACAGTTGGGGCTCTAGTCCATGACTGCTGTCATTCTTAATGGATTGGCGCTTCCCCCTTTCCCCAACGTGGAGGTAATGAATTTTTGGGCCATGGGCTTGTGGCGAGTAGCGTGGCCGCCTTGGGGCAAGTTGGGGCCCGGGGGAGGCAGTGGAACGTAGTGGGTTACATTTGTACCTGAAAGCACCCTGTGATGATTTGTGATGATTTGTGACGATAAGAGGAAAGTGGTCAGCAGCCGTGCGTCTTCGTCCCGGTACGTTCTCGTCGGCCGCGTGACGCAAAAATGTGATATTGTCGCTTGCTAAGCGTTCGTCTAAATGCTTTCCGTGTCGTAGCTGCTCTCCGTACCGTGAGCCAAACGGCGGAACGGTGTAGGTGGGTATATATAGAGCTGTTGGGATAGGCTGGGCTTGAAGCACGCTAGGCAGGCTCGAGCAGAGCAGATGCTAGATATGTACATGTGGTTATGGAATGGAGAGTGGCTGGTCGAGGGAGGCTGCAGGGCTGTGTGTGGACAGTGACTGCGTGTGCGATGGTGATAGGTGGATTGCCTCCTGTTGTGCACTTCCTCACAGAGTTCGCAGTGGGACAATGAAACCTGAGAGGTTTTGGCTAGTACATGCTAGAAATGGATTGAGGGGACCCGTGTTAAGCAAGCCTGGGTATGTTTGTTTGGACAAGGAAGCTCTGGGTTCCGTTACCCTTATGAATTCCATCCCCAATGTAAGTATTTTAGCGCACAGTGGATGCGAGACGGACGAAGTCTAAGCGAGGTAAGAGCGGAGGAAGTGCTGTCGATCTAATCTGGCTGCAGAGTGATAGAGGTTTTGAATACTCTTGATTTATACGGAGCAGTGAGTCGTACGGAGAATGGGCGAGAAGCTTAGGCCAGATCGCACAGATCCTCCTCGGTGAACCAAGAGTGAGCAGAGACAAAGGGACTGAAGTCTGGCTGGTAGACGCGGCTGTCCTGAAAGCGCGGACAGGGTTAAACTTTAAATGGAACGGCGTCTCCGAGGACGAGGTGTCGAAACGACGGAAGGAATCAGTTGAACCAGTCTCCAGAAGGCGGACGGAAAGACGGAAAGCGCGGACGTACGGGTGGGTTTTGGATTGATTTTCGAGCAGATTTTATGTTGCAAAGCGCTTGGGGGAGTTCATGAGCGAGGATTCCGCTCACACATACAGATCCGGGGCGACAAGGGCTTCCGGTGATAGGCCGGCAATCACTACTTTCCAAAAATGGACAGGGGCGCCGTTTGCCGAATCCCCAAGAGTTGGGATGCCCCAAACCGAAGGTGCGAACTTTGAAAACGTCAGTCCCCAGTCCTCCCAACTATAAATCCCTACCCAATACCCAACCTCGATCCCCCATCCCTCCGCTACCCTCGCCCCGCCCAGGACACTTTCCCCCTTCCTCCTTCCGATTTCTAAAGCACAAATGGGTTAGTCTTTACGCGTTGCTAAGCGTTTGTTCGTTTACTCAGTTCCCCTACAGCCACTATCATGTCCCGCCCTCTTGTCTCCTCTCCCCTCGCGGGCAACTCGTCTGCCACACACACACAGACAACGGCGCAGCGCGTGATTCCCAGGCGAAATCCCGCCTTCACCTCATCACGCGCTCTCCGGCCATTCCCCTCCATTGCCCAGTCGATTCAACCCTCTGCGGGTAACAAGAAGGCAGTCAAAATCATAGAGGCTCCAAAAAACCAAAAGACAATGTTTATGCTGGATCTCACACAAGCAGAATTTAGCCGACAAGATGTCAACTAGAATTTACCGCCTTCATGCCATTTTTTTCCATGTCGCGCTCCGTCTAGTCTCGCCGCCTCCCCCTACTCCCCTTGCACATTGTGTTGGACGTATTTATGACGCAGGCCCCAGATGCCTTTCACACCCAAGAAGATCGAACACCAGACACCCATATCCATTCTTATAACGCGTTTATCCCATTTTTGCATCCACCCTAATCCCCTGTTCGCATTCAAGCCTTTATTCTTATGATACCTCTTTCTTTTTTTTAGTGGATAGAAGGGTTTCTTAAGTTGTATTTTGAAGGATTTCTGTGTCGTAGTAGTTTGATACCCCAATGTAAAACGATACATGCATTTACGACACGATGATCGTGACTCCTACCCTCGGTGCGCAGGAAGACTCCCTTTCGCGGTCATTGCCAAGTTCGGAAGTCGAATTGACGAT